ATCCTCATCCTCATCATCTGCTATACAAGCATCATCATCATCATCATCATCATCATCATCATCATCATCATCATCATCATCGTCCATACACAGTGACAAACATCCTCCTCCTCCTCCTCCTCCTCCTCCTCCTCCTCATCGTCCATACACAGTGACAAACATTATCATCATCATCATAATCATCATCCTCATTTATAAGCGATGGCACATCATCATCATCGTAATATCACCTATACACTTTTACCGGCATCATTATCAAATCTATACACAATGACAAACATCAACATCATCATCACTGTCAACATCATCATCATAATCTGTACAGAATAAGCATCCTCTTCATCCTTCTCTATGTATAATGTCAAACATCATCATCATTATCATCATCATCATCTGTGCTTAGTTACAAAACATCATCATCATCATCATCATCATCATCATCATCATCATCATATATAATCTATCACACCCATGCTCTGCCTTAAGCAAAATACTTCACATAGTATATAATTTATATACCAAAACATACACTCAATCTTACACACACACATACCAGAGACAAACTAGAATCATAGGGTCGAGAGAGGAAGAAGAAGAAAAAAAGGAAAAAAGGGGGGGGGAGACAGAAAGCAAGATAGGAGGGAGAGAGAGAGAGAGAGAGAGAGAGAGAGATCTGGGCCAGTTTTTTTTTTTTTTTTTTTTTTAAATACGTTAATTAAGAAAAAATATTTAGGAATCGAGGAATGACGGACAACATGGAAAATATTTACTTGATTCTTTGGCAACATCCATTATACACAATATATTGCACTCACATAATTAATGTAATATAAATGATAATTTTTCACTTGAAGGCTTGGGATGCAGAGGACGTATAAGCTCATCATTAAATTACGGTTGAACTTTCTATGAAAATACCGGCTTAAGAAATAACCTTACAATAATAGATAAAATATGTAGCATACTCCGTACTGACAGGGTGTGATCACCAAACCGTAATATCATAGCAATAACATCGGGGTCAGTTAAAACGCATAGACCAGTATGCATTTGAGGATTCGATTTATTCTGTTAAGGATAGTGGAATCAGTGGTTTTAGACAACACTCTTACGCATATAGCTACCTTTCCAGACTTCGGCTAGATGGAGCTATGGCAAACCATATTGTTTATTAAGTAGCTGCTATTGATGATGGTGATGGGTCCAATATAAAAAGTAAGCAAAACAGAATTACCAGTACAAAGGAACCAGTACTTTTATACATTTAAGTCTTCTGATTAATCAAATTTACGTCGTATTGCCAGTAAAATGTATTTTAATGTATGGTATATGTACTTACAGTACAAATTACTCTTAATTATGTACATATACAAACAGTTCAACAAATTGTTGCAGCATAATTCATTTTCGTTATGCTGTATATATTATCAAATTTCAAAGATCCAAGACATATTGCGTTCATCTTTTCAAGGTGATAGACTCTGCTGGTGGAGTTCTGTAATCCCCAAAGTTTGCAATAACATTGATGGCCACAGTTATCTCTTTTTGATAGTGGCACGGTACAAAGTGTATACATCTTTCGCATTAATCTAAAATCGACCAGTACCCTTTTGAATTCTCAAATTGATCTGATTAAGCGGTTTTATGCACACCACCTTCTGCTTCAACCGTAGTTTTGACCAATTTACATTGTAACCTTTTTGGCCTCTAGCATCACTGATTAATCTAAGGAGGACGAAAAGATTGTATGGTGCATGTCATTTTATTTTGGCTGAAATTTCCAAATTATAAAGGTAAAATAACGTAGGTGTTGTCTTGTGTTCCCTACTATCAAGTACACATGTTTATACACGACTGTATCTAACTGTGTATTATCCACACAAACACCTACTTACAATTGCGCCATTACTATAATATCTCGGGTCTGCTACTACTTTGTCGGTTCACTGTGAAACTACCATTCTCTTTCGAAATAGGTTATCGTTATAATCATGAAAGAATAAATGCTTTATTCAAAGTCAACCTATTAAAACCTGAAGTACTTTTTGTGTAGACATCAATTGGAAACGATTAGCGATATATCAGTTGAATCATTGTAAACAAACAGGATATTTAAAATACACAAACAACATCATGTGATTTTGACATCAGCTGCTGACAAATTGCCATTTTCCAACTTCATACTTTATGTAATGGGACATGTCCACATATTAACGTCTAAAAGTTAGGATTTTTGTTAAATATGTGTTTATACTTAGTTAGATGTAGTATTAGAGCAAGTGAAAGTTGAATACTATACTTTAATTCAGTTTGATTTTGTCATGTTACAGATTGAACACTCGCACATATTCGTACCTTAATAGTGAGTAACCCCAAACGCAAAAAACACACACACATTCAGACATTGTAACTTGATCGAGTTACTCTCTTCAAACTGGTGACGTTAGAACAATAGACAGGTGAGCGGACTCCTTGATCGAAATATCATAAACTCTATTGTTACAATTACCATGCAAAAACTAGACATACTGATATGTAATAAATCTTTGAAGATTTAAACAACTCGGTCGAGAAGTTTTTGTCAGATGTAACCGATTTGACAAATACTTGATTGTGTTCTATTTATGTTTCGTAGAATTATGTTCCATTTATAGGATTGATGTATAAACCTGTCATGTGCTGCTTTTACAACTGTATCATTGGCTTCTTTAATTAATATCTTCACTGTAAATTTCCATCACGTCATAGCGTGAATACAAATATGCTTAGTTTTTGAAATAGCGTCACTTTTTTGGGGAGTATCAGGGAGGTCCGTGGTATTATCTCTATATTAAGGATTCTCCTTGGACGGAGGGAATTCTAGTGCATAACTAACAATTGGGATGTTTTAAAGAGATTCATTATGAGAATATGTGGCTAGTGTAAAACTTTATCAGAAGTCACCACGTAGTCTATTGCTAAAAAAGACACTCATTCGGAAATGTTTTGACTAGTCTATCAGTGTAAAAATTTATAAGAAGTCACATCGTAGACTATAGGTAAGTACTGACATCTTATCAATTGTCTGTGCCAGGTAGCCATTGTCCTGCTATAGGTATAAACAGCCCTGATACCCCCGGATTCACATGACGTACATCACCGCTTCGTTATTAGGAAGAGGGGATATGACAATAACCCTATCAATTTACAATCAAAAATCATAAATTTTAATTGCACCAAATATTCAAGGTATTTGTGTCAGTTTAATAATGTTGTAACTTTTAATAATCATATATCTAGAATGTTATCTACTGTAACGTTCCGTCCTCGTATGACCGAGGCGTCTGGATGGACGTTATGTTCTGAAAACTGCTGGCAAATTGCCATAATTCCAACTTCATACTTTATGTAATAGGACATGTCCACATTTTAACGTCTAAAAGTTAAGTGTTTGCTAAATATTTGTTTATATTTAGTTAGATGTAGTATTAGAGCACGTGAAAATTGAATACTATACTTTCATTCAACTTGATTTTGTCATGTTTGCAAAAGTTTCCTGTGAAAAAGTGAAAATATGTATAATTCGTTAAGACCAGTAGCTTATGTGATTTTGGTGAAATAATATATAGTTTTTACTTTGGCTGGTAATAGGGGAAGAAAGCAATATTTCGTTTTCATTGACAAAAAAATCGTTTCGTTACCATGGCAATCTTACTCAAACAGTATTGGCAATAAACTAAAACTTTAGAAATGCTAATATAAAATTAAAGCTTTAAAATGTTGATGGAAAAATGGACCAAAAAGGTCTAAACCATACATTGTACAAGCCCTTCCCAATCCCAGGGGTCCTAATACATTCATGTTGCATTGTTCTTTTCATGACATATGTCTCCACTGCGTATTCAATTTAAAAAGGTTTTCTCTCAATAAATGGCTACAGATACTGCATTCTCGGTAGGAAATATAACGATACTGAGTATTTTGCTTTTGTGTTTGTCAAAGTGATCCTTGATGTGTTTTTAAAAAAATACATTTGACTAAACTGACAACATAGATGTTACAAATGGCTATCACACTTAAAATTGAAAAAAACTACACCTTAAATTAACGTCATATATCTATTTCTATGAATGTCAATATCAATTGCAATAACATCAATTTATGTACGTTCAACATAAATCGATAATCTATGCTAATACTAACAAAGTAATTCTGATCCGAGAGCAACCTTAGTTCCTGATAGCGTATATTGATACATATAACGTATTTATCTTTCCTTTCCTATTCAGATTGAAAACTCGCACATATATGTAACTTTATAGCGAGTAACCCCCAACGCAAAAACACACACACTTTAAGACATTGTAACTTAATCGGGTTACCCTCTTCAAACTGGTGACGTTAGAACAAGAGACAGGTGAGCGGACTCCTTGATCGAAATATCATGAACTGTATTTCTACAATTTCCTTGCAAAAACTAGACATACCGATATGCAATAAATATTTGAAGATTTTAGACAACTCTGTCGAGAAGTTTTTGTCATATGCGACCGATTCGACAAATACTTGAGTGGGTTCTATTTATATGTTTGGTGGAATTGTGTTTTATTTATAGCATTGATGCATTAACCTGTCATGTGATGCTTTTACAACTCTGTCGAGAAGTTTTTGTCATATATCCGACCGATTCGACAAATACTTGAGTGGGTTCTATTTATATGTTTCGTGGAATTGTGTTTTATTTATAGCATTGATGCATTAACCTGTCATGTGATGCCTTTACAACTGTGTCAGTGGCTTCTTTGTTAAATATCTTAGATTTTTTTTAAAGCGTCACTTTGTTGAGGGGGGGGGGACTTCTACTACATAAATAACAATTGAGATGTTTTAAAGACACTCATTCTGATGATATATGGCTAGTTTAAAACTTTATAAGAAGTCACCACGTAGTCTATTGCTAAAATAGACACTCATTCGGAAATGCTTTGACTAGTCTATCAGTGTAAAAATTTATAAGAAGTCACAACGTAGACTATAGGTAAGTACTGACATCTTGTCAATTGTCTGTGCCAGGTAACCAATGTCCTGCTATAAGTATAAACAGCACTGATACCGCCGGATTCTCATGACGTACATCACCGCTTCGTTATAAGGAAGAGAGGATATGACAATAACCCTATCAATTTATAATCAAAAATCATAGATTTTAATTGCACCAAATATTCAAGGTATTTGAGTCAGTTTAATAATGTTGTAACTTTTAATAATCATATATCTAGAATGTTAGTTACTGTAACGTTCCGTCCTCGTATGACCGAGGCGGCTGGATGGACGNCCAAAACAAACAAATACTGTAATAATATGAAAACTGCTGACAAATTGCATTCATTCCAACTTCACACTCAATGTAATGTGACATGTCCACATATTNTTAAGTGTTTGCTAAATATTTGTTTATATTTAGTTAGATGTAGTATTAGAGCACGTGAAAATTGAATACTATACTTTCATTCAACTTGATTTTGTCATGTTTGCAAAAGTTTCCTGTGAAAAAGTGAAAATATGTATAATTCGTTAAGACCAGTAGCTTATGTGATTTAGGTGAAATAATATATAATTTTTACTTTGGCTGGTAATAGGGAAAGAAAGCAATATTTCGTTTTCATTGACAAAAAAATCGTTTCGTTACCATGGCAATCTTATTCAAACAGTATTGGCAATAAACTAAAATTTTAGAAATGCTAATATAAAATTAAAGCTTTAAAATGTTGATGGAAAAATGGACCAAAAAGGTCTAAACCATACATTGTACAAGCCCTTCCCAATCCCAGGGGTCCTAATACATTCATGTTGCATTGTTCTTTTCATGACATATGTCTCCACTGCGTATTCAATTTAAAAAGGTTTTCTCTCAATAAATGGCTACAGATACTGCATTCTCGGTAGGAAATATAACGATACTGAGTATTTTGCTTTTGTGTTTGTCAAAGTGATCCTTGATGTGTTTTTAAAAAAATACATTTGACTAAACTGACAACATAGATGTTACAAATGGCTATCACACTTAAAATTGAAAAAAAAAACTACACCTTAAATTAACGTCATATATCTATTTCTATGAATGTCAATATCAATTGCAATAACATTAATTTATGTACGTTCAACATAAATCGATAATCTATGCTAATACTAACAAAGCAATTCTGATCCGAGAGCAACCTTAGTTCCTGATAGCGTATATTGATACATATAACGTATTTATCTTTCCTTTCCTATTCAGATTGAAAACTCGCACATATATGTAACTTTATAGCGAGTAACCCCCAACGCAAAAACACACACACTTTAAGACATTGTAACTTAATCGGGTTACCCTCTTCAAACTGGTGACGTTAGAACAAAAGGCAGGTGAGCGGACTCCTTGATCGAAATATCATGAACTGTATTGCTACAATTTCCTTGCAAAAACTAGACATACCGATATGCAATAAATCTTTGAAGATTTTAGACAACTCTGTCGAGCCGGTTTTGTCATATGTGACCGATTCGACAAATACTTGAGTGGGTTCTATTTATATGTTTCGTGGAATTGTGTTTTATTTATAGGATCGATGTATAAACCTGTCATGTTATGCTTTTACAACTCTGTCGAGAAGTTTTTGTCATATGCGACCGATTCGACAAAAACTTGACTGGGTTCTATTTATATGTTTCGTGGAATTGTGTTTTATTTATAGCATTGATGCATTATCCTGTCATGTGATGCCTTTTACAAATGTGTCAGTGGCTTTTCTGTTAAATATCTTAGATTTTTTTCAAAGCGTCACTTTGTTGGGAGGGGGAATTCTACAACATAAATAACAATTGGGATGTTTTAAAGACACTCATTCTGATGATATATGGCTAGTTTAACACTTTATAAGAATTCACCACGTAGTCTATTGGTAAAATAGACACTCAATCGGAGGATTTATGACTAGTCTATCAGTGTAAATCTTTATAAGAATTCACATCGTAGACTATAGGTAAGTACTGACATCTTATCAATTGTCTGTGCCAGGTAGCCATTGTCCTGCTATAAGAGTGTAAACAGCCCTGATACCCCCGGATTCACACGACTTACATCACCGCTTCGTTATTAGGAAGAGAGGATATGACAATAACCCTATTAATTTACAATCAAAAATCATAAATGTTGAATGCACCAAATACTCCGTTGAAAAAGAAGTGTAATGTAACAATAAAATAAATTTGATATATGTTTTTTTATGTCACAAAATGACATGTTTTCCCCAAACTAAATCGATCAATCAGAAAGTCTGATTTAATGAAAAGTTAAGCTTAAGTCATATCTAGCTGCGATAACGTACATGTATCTTTCTGACGACGAGAAATATAGCGTAAGCATTTCACGCGATAAAATATTTTTTGACGCAACAAACATGTATTTAACGCGTTAAATGCTAGGGCTTGACGCGATAAAAGTGTATATTTTACGTTAAATGCTAACGCGTTAGTTTATCTCGTTTTTGACATGAACGGCCTTTCATACGTAATAAACGGTTACCGTAAAGGTGTGCGTAAACTTATCGTATGTTTTCTAGTTCTTCTTTAGTTCCTTAGATCTAGTCAGTCATTAGGTGCTGGTTTGGAAACACCATATAATTTCCTGGGGGCTTGTCATAAGCAATTACTGACAGTTTAAAGTAGTAGTGCTCTCTATGTAAAGGGTCGAGCCAGAGTCGAAGACCATAACATGTCTTGACAATTTACTTGAACAGAAGAATATCCTGAAATCAAAGGGCCTGATATGTTTTCATTCTTTTCAATTATTTAGGAAAACTACGCATGATGACATATCCGTAATGTTCCTAGAGAAATACATGCCTGTTAATATGTATCTCGATAAAAAAGGGATTGTGGTTATTTGTAGGTTCTCTATCATAGTGATCGTTTGAAAACATCCAAAGCCTACCTTGGTCGTCTAGGTTACCCTGCAGTTTGTTGATTTTCTCAGCATACTCCTGTACCATTGAACACACGTTTGGATGTATGCACCTGATCATAGATACACACTTTTGGTAATTTCCATAATCGATTGTTTTGTAATTCATTAGACGATTAAAGAGTGTTTGGATGTTTTTAATCCCAGATGTATCGGCTGAATTCAGTGGAACTTCCCTAAATAGTTCATTTACTACCTCCAACGTTTCTCCGAAAATTGCGGTACTAATGTTGAGCACCATTCTGTTATGGAGAATTATTACCTCGTCATTCACATTTGACGCCATGGCGAACTGTTTCTTTATAATTGTATTCTGAAACAAAACATATAATATGATAAATATTATAAGATTTGGCACTTTAGACTGCGCAATATCAATGCTGATAAAAACAAATCAAATCTATGAACAAGTATTTTAATATCAAATCATTTATCGCTGTTCTTTTAATGAATCTCAAAATATGATGGTGAAAAGCCTACATATGCATACACGTACATACATTTAACTATGTACAGAATGTAAAAACTCATTGGTGTGTGTATTTTGCTCTATAATACATGCATAAACATATTGTGTATCATAAAACGCATCACTACCCCTCAGTCACACCATCGTCTCAAAACTACACCTTGTTAGGTTAACCTTGATTTGAGTGAATAAGATATCTGCTATTTTATAATATCCTTTAACATAATTTTTGAGAGGTGGTACGTCATCATGCTATTTTTTTGACATGGGTAATTTCCATAATCGAATGTACAGAATGTAAAAACTCATTGGTGTGTGTATTTTGCTCTATAATACATGCATAAACATATTGTGTATCATAAAACGCATCACTACCCCTCAGTCACACCATCGTCTCAAAACTACACCTTGTTAGGTTAACCTTGATTTGAGTGAATAAGATATCTGCTATTTTATAATATCCTTTAACATAATTTTTGAGAGGTGGTACGTCATCATGCTATTTTTTTGACATGGGTAATTTCCATAATCGAATGTACAGAATGTAAAAACTCATTGGTGTGTGTATTTTGCTCTATAATACATGCATAAACATATTGTGTATCATAAAACGCATCACTACCCCTCAGTCACACCATCGTCTCAAAACTACACCTTGTTAGGTTAACCTTGATTTGAGTGAATAAGATATCTGCTATTTTATAATATCCTTTAACATAATTTTTGAGAGGTGGTACGTCATCATGCTATTTTTTTGACATGGGAGGTGCAGAAGATTAAACGTCAAACACAATGTTATTGAACTGTAAGTTTAAAAGAACACAGACAAAACTTAAAGTCTCTTGTCAATGAAAGGTGTACTGTACACGCACCTAGCAAGCTCCTGTTACAGACTTTAGACTGCCCTATATGCATGCTACTTAATTAAAAAACTAAATAGTCGCAATACACGCAAAATTAATTTAGATATTCGGACGAGATGCATATCTCTTATACATGTACAAGGATACCCGAGTCCAAAGACTGTATCAGGTTGACTAATGCTCCGTGGTTAACCCGTGATCACTGTTGTCCTGATATAATTGTATCGTGTGATTTATCAATGCTTCATTCATAACCACTCTACCGAAGAAGACTTTCTTTAGATAAGGATAATACAATTTTTTCGAGTCTTAACAATAAAGCGAATTTATAAAGGCACTATATATATATGGCATGGGGTTTTAACAAAGATAATTGTATCGTGTGGTGTTTTGTTGAGATTTCGTGCAATAATTATCGTCTCCCGTTTGTTTGATATATTCAATAGCGTGTTTTTGAGAAGAAACATTACACTGTTTTCCAAGATTAATGTTTTCCTCCATCAGTGGTGTCCAGTTTTCGTACTCATATTATGAATATAGTCCCTAAAATTCTGTACCTTTCTACTTATTGTTCTTACTTTTTAGGTTTGCATGATGTTCGATATTCTTCTTTCCCTTTTTGTTATTGTAATTAAAGTTTTCAATGTTGATAACCACTGTTCTACAAATAAGTCTACATCAATAAAAGTACATGTTATGTGCTGCAGATATGATCATCACCGGTACGCATACATGCTATCAATCATGGGAGGCTGTGCTTTGTGGGTTTATGTTCCTTTTATTGTAATTGATTTCGATGAAAATTTGATTATTGCCATTATTTATGTATAATGCTTGTTGTGGAGGGAAATGTTCTATATCAGTGTCCATTCGTGAAAATAGGTTTGTATTCTGTATTAGAACTTCCATTCAACATTATAATTTTCAACAAACGTTTAATGACGATCACTTTTTTGGGCATATTGCTAGTGGAATCGAAGCTTCAATGCCCAAAGCTGATCCCAAGCATTACGACCTCTGCAGGAATAACTCCGAACATGTCAACCAAGTAATTAGCATACGAATATTGTGCATTAAGATGCATTCTCCGCAGAAAAGGGAAAATATCGCATTCATGTAACAGTACGCAATTTCTACGAAATGAGATCTGAGTTTAAGTTATATAAGCATGTACTGACAAAATCTTATATGTGATGCTACGGTCAATTCTTTGACAACATATATTGTACAATTTATTGCATTCATATAATTTATATAATCAAAATGATAATTTTTCAGGTTTTTAGGTTTGACCTTTCAATAACAATACAATCTGAAGAAATAACCTTACGATAATAAATAAAATATGCAGTATACTCCGCACTGACAGGTGTAATCGCAACACCGTAATATTATAACAATAACATCGAGGTCAGGTAAAAACATAGACAAAGGAGCCGTGATCATTAAATTTATTTGGAAAATGTATTAGCATTGAAGGATTCGATTTACTATGTTAAGGATTGTTTAATCAGTGATTTTAGACAACATCCTTACGCCTATAGCTACCTATCCAAACTGCTAGCTAGATAGAGCTCCCAAGCACCATGGTGCAACGATTGACTGCTATTGGTGGTGGTGGTGGTGGTGGTGGTGGGGGGGGGGTTCCAATATGAAAAAAGTAGAACAGATTAAGAAACCTAAATGGAAACAAATATTGGTATATATTATTTTAGGGACCTTCCTTCCTGTACAAATGACCCATACCTTACATTTAAGTATTCTGACTAATTCAATTTACGTTTCAGTATAACTTTTTTAACATAGATTATATGCACTTACAGTCGTCAAATTACCCTAGCGCGCACCATTCAGTTTGTCTGTGACACATGTGGCAGTTATACCAGTTGGTCTGCCACATCTATGCAGTTTATTGCTTATATTTATGTTTTCGTTATGAAAATTCGCAAAAAAATAACTGATGTCTTTTTCAACTTTCAAATTTCCCGCTTGTTACCGTCAGGTCTGGTCAATATCTAGAACGGCGCAAAGATAACAGCTGACGTCACGCGCTATTTTTCCATACAAAATTGAAAAGACTTAAAACGCAACTTTCGTTAATAATTCATATGTTTTTAATTTATATATATCATATTCTCAATTCACAAAGTAGTAACAAATAACATTTTGTAACTAACTATTCAAGTATTGTAAAACATTTTCCGACCTATATCCGGCGCACGCACTCAACGGAAGCCCGCAGTAATCAGGTCAGAGTTATTTGCAGTCCGGCAGGTTGTTGACGGTGATTGTGCAACCGGAGAAGGTTGAATTGCTGAAAAATCCAGGCGGAAAATTGTTTGTGGACCTCACAGACACTTGAGACAGGGAGCTGGTGTTCGGGATCAAACCAGAAGATACCGGTAAGTTCGGTAGTGACACTGTTAAGTCGCTCGGAGGTGATGTAGCGTATGACTGAACCTCGAGCACGCCATGTTTCGCTTTCGGTTGGACGATGGCGGACAATGATGAACTGAGGGCTTTCTTCTGGTGATTTGCTACATTTCTGTTGTACGATCTGAGGGACGACTCGCATCTGTGATCACTCATGTACATGATATGTCGTGCCTCATAACCTTGGTCGTTCAGGAACTGTATAGCTGTTGCTCGGAGACAATGAGGGGTGTACTTTTTGTCGATCTTGGCTGCCACACATATGTTGGACATGAATTTCGCGAATGTGCGTTTTGACAAAGATTTATTGGTGTACCAAATTGCCGATTCGATCGGTTTCATTACTGCACTTTTGTCAAATTGGTTAAACAAACTCGTTGCAGTAGGGTCTGTTTTTTCAATGAGTCTTTTTAGCATTTTGACTGGACACTTACTGTTACCGCTTGCATACATCCGTTTTCCATTTTCACCAGAATGCGATAGGCCACCTTGTATGTTTTTTTGCTGTGTTTCGTGCGACAGTGTTGCATATTCACCAGAGCTGTCGCTTTCGAAGACAAATGAGTCTGGTTTCAGTTGATGATGGAATTCCATCCCTCGTGACAGGAAATGGACAGCTAGTACATACCATACATACTGTCGTAATATTACCGGGGAATAAGGAGCAGCATCAAAGTAGGAGGACATTTTTTCCAGGTCATCTTGGTCAATAATTTCTTTATGTGTGACCGGTTTAGAAAGGCCAAGTCTTGTTCTCTGTTTCAGTAACCCATCAAGTATACCATTGGGCGTTTTAAACTCTGTGTCGCGAACAATATCAACATTCCTGTGAATGTCTGATAAATGACGGTTGATTGCTGCTCTTATGCTGATGAGGCTGTTCCTGTGGTACAGATTCTCTACGTCATTTTCATTTTTGGGGAGAGGCCGAGCTTCACAGTAGAATTTCCCCAGACTTTCAGCAAGTTGATGGACAGGAACAATTCCCATATCCAACTGTGCTCCTGTTGTCTCCTTGTTCCATTCTGATAGCAAAAAAATAAATATGAAAGGGTTGGAACACAAGAGATGAAGTTAATAGATAGTCTGCAGAATTGTTTTCATTATATATAAACAGAGGCCACCACTTGAACTTACTGCCACTGATGAATTGAACTTACTTTTCATTTTTTTGTACCAGTTGAGACCTTTTTTGATTGCTTTACATTTTATTGCAACAATAATGCGTCTTGATTGCTTGAATGCTGCTGCAATCAGATGTACACAATATGATATTCTTCAAGAAAGTTCCCATTTGTTTGGACTATAGACATTATGTTCAAATAAAAACAATTGAAGTGGTCTGTCCAGTTTTATATTTATCGTATTTACATACTGTGTAACTTATCAATTTCAGCTAAGCAATCAGGCCTTTTATGTAAAATTAATCCATTTTCAAAATGTAAAACAAAGCAAAACTGACTCTTTGACTTGCAGTTACAGAGAGAGCTCCATTAGATTAAAATAATTTTGACACAGAACAATAATTGAAAGTTTTGCCTACCTTGAAATATTTTCACCCCCCAGGCTGTATTTTTTTAGTGCTTGGTGCTTGTCTTTCCGCAAATAATTGCTCCAAATCATGACTAGAGACACTTGAGAATCTTGATTTCTTGGCTTCAGGTTCCTGGTCACATTCTTCAGTTTGATGAACATTATTTTGATCAGGTTTTGGCTCTGTTGGAGGGTTAACAGTATCAATGCTGCTTAATGCTTCATTCAACAATTCTGATATCTCGGGTGGTACTACCCCAAGAAGTTCTGCCATGCTTATTGTTGCAAAAATAGTATCATCATCACTTGGTATTCCGTCATGATCACTTTCTTGTAAACAAGCTGGAATTTGAAGATTAAAGTTTCCAAGCTCTTGATGCTCAGCCATCTCAGCAGCAGCAGCAGACGACAGTGTAATTACCCAGAACCCACTCAGTAAAAAAACGTTTTTTTATCATATTTTCAAATTTCACTCTAAATCGTGTTATTTTAAAAAAAAATGCTAGAAAATTAATCGGAAAATATTTTATTAAACATTTTGACATTTTCTTCAAATCTCATTTCAATGTAAGTTGACAGTGTATGGCGGCCATGTTTGTTTACATTGTGCAAGTCAGATGTATTCATACGCCCTGCAAAGACCAACTTCAGTTATTGTCTCATACGATGAAGCTGCTATTGGCAGTACTTTAGTGGTAATATAGAAGGGCTTTGCCACACCAAATGTAAATATATATACATATGCAGGCAGTATAACAATAAGATACAGCATAATTCATTTTCGGTATTCTTTATTTATTATCAAATTCCATAGGTCCAATCACATTCAACTGCAAGGTGGTAGGCTCTGCTGGTTCGGAACCTCCACAATGTTGGAGTCACGGAAGCGCGTGTTGATCGGAACCTCCACAATGTTGGAGTCACGGAAGTGCGTGTTGATTGGAACCTCCACAATGTTGGATTCACGGAAGCGCGTGTTGATCGGAACCTCCACAATGTTGGAGTCACGGAAGCGCGTGTTGATCGGAACCTCCACAATGTTGGAGTCACGGAAACGCGCGGTGATTGGAACCTCCACAATGTTGGAGTTACGGAAGCACGTGTTGAACGGAACCTCCACAATGTTGGAGTCACGGAAACGCGTGTTAGTCGGAACCTCCACAATGTTGGAGTCACGGAAACGCGTGTTGATCGAAACCTCCACAGGATTAGAGTCACGGAAACGCGTGTTGGTCGAAACCCCCACAGGGCTGGAGTCGCTTTAATTGGGAGGGGGGGGGGACTTTAATTGGACTTTAATTGGTCAACGATTATATCTTTTGTGCCTTCATAAAGAACACGATGAGTCATCGTTAAATAGGATATTTATATAGACACCAAATATATCAGGTGGTTTTCAGAAACATATATGTACCGTGAGCTGTTTTGTTGAAATGTCTGTCAAATGATTGTACAATACCTGTCGCATTACATATAGCGTGATACAGTGTGTTTACATTCAGATGCAATGCCGACATTTTCAAGAAAGATATTTAGCTTTTACCTTTGTACCAATATACCTGTTTCTAGCAATCCATGAGTTTGAAGTCAAAGTGATCCCCCTTATCACCTAACACTAGAAATGCACCATAATTCAGTATATGATATGAGCTTTGCAACAATTAAACAAAGGCCTTAGCATTAACATCCTCACGAGTATTTTACGGGTTTTGCAGGATCTTTAACAAAAGAAGCCCAAAATCATTGCTATGTTTTCCTTTACTCATTTGTGATTTCATCCCGAAAACTTATTGATGTTACTTAATCCAGCGGTTTTTCGCTAATGATAATCTCAAAATAAATTTTCTGCAACAGAAATCTGAAATGGTTTAACATTTATGTTACATATGCTCCTACACATGCATATTTCTTGCCTTGTATCACTAGTATTGACAGCTAACTTAACGCCTACTTACCAGTACAAAAATTCCAAAAACATCACTTCCATCGTTTGCTACCAGAAACCAGCGGGAGACAGTGATTTATTTCTGGCGATGCTCAAAATTCTTAACATTGAAAAACCAAAGAAAGTAACATCCTTAGTGCTTACCTAGTGTTCTATAGAACTGAAACAGAGATTCTATTACATTCAATTATGACCGGTCCTCAAATAAGCAGCTACGTTTTGCCAGTTGACGCTATTAGTGTTGTAACCACGATAAGTTAAATTGACAAAAACATTTTTTTACGGCAAAATTCAACAGTAATAAAGTGAAAGCATATTTTTTTATGCTGGGATAAAAAGTCATTTCTCAGTTACATAGCCACGGATAATAATGTTGAAACGGAACTGGAATAGATCGTTTGTCGGCGACCAGGTAACTCAATTGGTAGAGGATCCATCGCCCGAGAGTTCAGGGGGTTCCGGTTCAAATCCCGGTCTGGCCGTGCATTTCTCTATTAATAAATATATACAAGAGGCCAAATGGGCCTGCATCGCTCACCTTGTATTAATCCCACACTTGTACCGTTAAAAGTGATCTAAACTAAAGCTACAGGCAAAATATCAATATTTACATGTATGATTTTAAGGCATTCAAAAGAACCTGTTGAAAGATTTTAAAACATGTGACCCCTGTGACCTTGAAAGTCGAAAAAGGTCAATACATTGAACATCTTAATAGCCCTTCATCTCAGCATGCAACTTGCCAAATATCACCACCCAAGAACATTTGTTTATTGAGATTAGGTCATTTAAAGGTTAATACATATTTAACAAAATGTGACCTTAAAGAAGGTCAAGGTCATTCAAATTTCGTTATAGCCCTTCATTCAAGCATGCTACTGGCTAAATTTCAACATTGTAGGCATCATTGTTATTCGGAAGAAGTCATTTAAAGATTTTAAACAAATTTGACCCCTGTGACATTGAATATAAGTCAAGGTTATTCATTTAAACAGAATTGGTAGCCCTTTATCCTAGCAAGCTAATTTAGATTAAAAGTTACCTCAAGGTGCATTAACTGTTTTCATGACTTGACCAAACAGTTAAGAGAAAAGAAGAGAAAATATCGAACTTACATAGAACTAATGAAGATGGTACAATGATGAGCGCCAAGTTCCCTCTTGGATCTCTTGTTTCTCTAAATATGAAAAGTAATGAAAAACACTGAATAATAATCTCTGTTTATAGAGATACAAGTAGTTTATAGAGATGTAAGTGTGTTTAAACTGTCATTTGTTACTGCAGTTCAATGATATACTTGCTGCTTTTTCCATAGGAGTGCTGTTTCAAATTACGTGGCTAACAAGGGTAACATAGAAAAAAGGAAGTCATTTTGTTTGTTTTGTTTCTTCCTTTTTATGTACATGTACACTGTATTACCATTAAAGGAGTTCACTGGGTGCCTGCAGCTCACATGAGCTATGCTCTTATTAAGGAGGCTGCACCCTTCCGAAATTAAGCAGCAGTTTTCAATGAAAGTTTCACGTAATGGTTATGTCACTATGTAGAGATGATTTTATGAAAATCTAAGCATTCCGATATACTGGGAATTGTTTTGTAAAAAATACCGAAAATTTAATTTTTGTCAAATTTAACACTTTCAAATGTTTAGAGTGTGTGGCATTGTTCAAAACTATTACAACAATAAAAAAAGTGAAAAGAAGCATTGCTAATCAACCCTACAAATATTATATTTATCATAAAATATCTAAAACACGTTACACAGAGTTTTTTAATTGAAATTGTATGGATAAAAGTTATTATATACAAGCTAAAAGCAAACAGGACACATAATTTCATACAAAAACAGTGCAAAATTGATCCAAATATACACAAAGTCTTTATAACTTATTTATTTTACATTTCACAATCATTTTGATCCTGATGAGAGTTGTCTACCTGAAAAAAATCGAAACTTTTTGCAGAGGGATAAAATTTATACAACGACAGTTATTTTCTCTACATATATCATAAACGACGGAAATGTATTAAATTATGGCATGAAAATTGTCAATATACTGTTCTTTTATGGAACAAAATTACTCTTTATCATGCACACTTTAGACATCATTCCATATCCCGCTTACGCATGGTAGGGACATATGTAACCATAGGCTATCGCAGGGTATGCTGTAATCACGTGCAGGCACATGCACTTGGTTTTTAATAGGGATCTTGATGTTTTACAAAACGCTATTTTCATAGAGTTAGTGTAATAGCATTTGTAAAATGATTCACCTGACTCGCTCGACCTGTGAACTAGTGTAAGCACGTGATATGTACATGTGAGGTCGGTTAAATAAACGCACCAGTCTGCATTCCATGCTCCTCATATTTGACTTTCTTGAAGTCGTCTGATCTTATGTCAGTGTCTTCCCGTGAGTTAATTATATTTTTGTATCATAAGTTTTATTTCTGAAGTACGTGTGATCACACATTTCCCAATTTAGTCTCGATATCGGGTGTTAACATATCATCGTCGCGGACGTGTACTATTGTTTACCCGGTGTTACTATAATTTACATTAAGGTATTGAAATGCCAAAAACGCAATACGGAAATGACGACACAAAAATACGACAGGAAAAACATGTGTATTACGAATGATGGGAAGTCCTTAATTGACTTTTGATAATGTACATGTTGGTTGCAGTTCATTCTGCTTAGCCTACGAAAGATATTAACTTATTATAGTGTTGGTGAACTCCTCAGCTTTAATGCCTTATTTCTGACTATAAAAGCTCACAATGCTGTGCCAAAATGTTTAGTCCCCCACCAGTTCCCGGTGGGGGACTGAAGGTTTGAAGCCCGTCGGTCCTTACGTCCAAGAAGTTTGTCCGGGACATATACTATTTCACCTGGAGTAACCAGATTTGGTGTACAAGGACATCTTGGGATGGCAGTGTACAAGAAGAAGGTCACTGTGATGGATCTCACTGTGACCTATGCTATGCTATGACCTTGGACATATTTTCGTTACTTTTGCACCTGGAGTAGCCCAATTTTGTGTACAATGACATCTTTGGATGGCGGAGTGCAGAGTACAAGAATTACGTCACTGTGACCTATGACTTGACCTTGACTTTTGAAAATGTTTGTCCGGGGCATATCTTCTACACTACTTCACCTGGAGTAACCAGATTTGGTGTACAAGGACCTTGGAATGGCGGAGTGCAGAGTGCAAGAATAAGGTCACTGTGATCTATGACTTGACATTTGACTATTTCACCAGGAACAACCAGATTTGGTGTACAAGGACATCTTGGTATGATGGAGTGCAAGAAGTAAGTCACTATATCCTCACG